TTCCTGCACTCTGCTATGCTCTACGTTGGTGGCTTCGTTATTCCGGGCGGTGGTATCTTAAGCAGTCCTAATATGTGCTATTCGGAGGATTGCGGCGCAATACTGTGCTCTGCTACTCTCTGCTGTCCTCTACAGTGTTCCGCTGTGTTATGCTGTTGTGGCGGTGCAATTCGATGCATTTCTGACCGGAATGGTCCTAATCTGCACTATTCGGTGCTATTCGGTGGCCTGCTGTCCCTTGCTACGCTCTGATGCGCGCTACTGAGCTCTGCTGTGGTGACGCTGCTGGTGGGTGCAGTGCCGGGTTCAGCTGTACTGGAGAGTGGTAGTGGTTCTATTCGTTGCACTGCTGCGCCTTGCTGATTTTTGCTACGATTGTGGTGCTACTCGGTGCTGTGCTGTGATATGCGGTGCTATTCGACGTTCCGCCATTCTCCACCGTGTCCTGCTGTGGTGGTGACTCCGTTCCGAGCGACGCTGTGGAGATGATGCTGTCCCGCTCGAGGCAGTGCGGACACTGCTGTCACTCCTTATTTGTCATATAGAGAAATCGCGTGTTGATCAATTTTGACTAAATTAGCATGTACATTGTGCAATTTATAGGGAGAGCATGTTGTTGAGATTCTCGATTAAAGATGTAGCTTATCGGCGTTGTTCCTCGTATTCATAGTTGGGATATTCTGAGTATTATAATGGAATATAGTTGGAATGTTCTTCTATTATATATTATACACGTTGTACCGTAAATGTTATACTGAACTATAATTATAATATTGTCACTAAGAGATACGGAAGAACTCAGACATTCAATACATACATATATTCTTATTCTTCATCTTTAAGTAGATAGCAGACCCAGGATATGTTATTTTCGAAGAGGAAAATATTTCGAAGTAAAGAAATTTATATCTGCTGTTGATAAATCAAATAGTATATCAGAGACTACAGTCAAACCTGTTTTTATGCGGTAGATAGGGACCACATACACGAAACCGCACAAACAAAATATTCGGAAATTTCATAGATACGTATTAATGAAACATAATTTTTTACAACATGCTAGAGAAATTTGTTTATGCGATGGAGAAGGGCCGCATAAAAAAGTCGCACTCAGAAAATACGCCAAAGGTTTACAAAATACATGAGAAAGTGCTTCCAAACAAAATAAATAATTAAATTATATATTGAAACATTTCAAAGATATTTAATTTCTCATTGTACACATCGAGAAAATTTCAAAATGTGCATACATAATTTACTGCTACACATCGTAATACAAAACGCGCATCTTCTTGTGATGAACTGGCCCAAAAACGCTTTCATCACTTGAAGATACAATGTCAATTGGTTTATTTTTTGTGACCATAAAGTCAGTGATAAGTTCTAGCGATGACGATCGTTTGGTCAGTTGCTTGTAAACGTCACGATAATAAGATATACATGAACGAAGCTCTTTCTGGAATTTCAAACTTCTTCCGGAATTGGTACCTATTTTAACAAAATGCTCTTCTAATTTACTGCGAAGCTGGATCCCTGCATATATTCTGTCCGCTGTCATAGAATCTGGTTCTTCTTGTCCGTCTTCACAAATTATCAAATTATTGATAATGTCACTATCATTGATTGTTTCGTCCTCAATCGTTTCGTCAAGATCTTTTTCGCTGAAAGTGTCAAAGCCTTCTCCGCTGATGTGATGTGCTAGCACAGTAATTTCTAATACTAACATGGACGTGTTTTCGGTTACGTTTCTATTAATTACACATTCAGGCCAGATCGCTTTCCAGCACGAATTTAAGGTATGTTCTATTTGAGCAATTACTGCAGTAGCTTGGTTTATGCAGTCTAAAATTGAAAACTTTTTCCAAGCTTCAGTCAGACTTATTCCATCGTTTTCGATTTTTTTCAAAATGTAGCTGAAAGTTAACTTTACATAATATTTCTTAAAAGTTGCGATTATGCCCTGATCCAGTGGTTGTACGAGGCTAGTCGTATTTGGCGGTAAAAACACTATTTGTGCTTTACGATATTCTAAATGAGGATGGCCGGGTGCATTGTCAACAATTAGCAAGACTTTAAACGGAAGAGCCATTTCTATCATACATCTTTCAACTTCTGGTACGAAGCAATCGTTGAACCACGTTGGAAAAACAGCTGATGTAACCCATGCTTTCTTATTGGCCATGAAATGGACCGGAAGTTCAGCTAAATTTGTTCCTACTAGCGCACGTGGGTGCAAAGCTTTATTTATAATGAGTGGCTTTAACATCCTTGCCCCAGATGCATTACTGCAAAGAAGGAGTGTAATTCAATTCTTTGCAGCTTTAAAACCGCTTGCAGTTTTCTTGGACTTGGCAATGAACGTTCGATTCGGCACTTTTTTCCAAAATAGCCCTGTTTTATCTGCATTAAATACTCGATCTGGGCAATATCCACCATCTTCAATGATTTTCAGTAGTATTTTGCAATAGTTTTTAGCACCTGTTTCATCGGTGGACGCAGCCTCGCCTTGTACCTTCACATTGTGAAGTGCGTACCGTCGCAAAATGCCAGTTAACAAGGCATTACAGAAGGTTTCAAGTTTTCAAGACAGTATGAGGAACTGAATGGCTCTAAATCTTTCAGCTGGTTGAAATATTGTTTAGCTTTTTCTTTAATCAAATCTCCGTGAATGGGGATTAGTTTTTTAGTTAAATCTTTAATCCTAAGCACAAGAGCCTCTTCCGTTTTCTCTATAACAATATTTCTTGAATATGATGCTCATTTACTGCTTTCGTTAGCTGCATTACTAACAGATTCATTTATTTTACTTGCCCGTCTGTATATAGCTCTTATAGTAGATTCACCTAATTTAAATTCGTTAGCAAGAGCTGTGGATCCTTCACCATCTGCTAGTCTATTTAAGACTTCAATTTCTGTTTCTAATGCAATTGTCTTCCTTTTCACTTCTTTTGCCTACAATTATCCATGTTAAGAAAGTACTTTCTCTAAAAACAAAATAAAAATCATATAAACTACATACAAATTAGAAAAAGTAATTTATTTACCCTTAATCTCACTATAAAATGAATCCTTAATCACGCGAGTCGTGGCTAAAACTTGGGATACGAAGCGTATGCTGTTACCGTGTCGAAAGACAGCGACTGAATGTGCATTGTCGCAAGACTGTCCGCAACAAATGAACCCCTAAATGCGACAAACGCCTTGCAGTGTACATTGTACACAAAAAGGAAACATTACAACGGTGTCAATGCCATTGGAATTCATATACCACATAAAAAAACATCGCATAAAACAGATCGCACAAAAATAAAATCGCCTAAAACAAACCGCACCAGAATAAAATCGTATAAAACAAATCGCATAATAAAGGACCGCACAAAAACAGGTTTGGCTGTATATAAATAACATCAGTAAAATTGAAATTAAGTGTATATTTCAATACTGGATCTATGAAGTGAGACAAAATAATTTAAGGTACTTTATTTCCGCAACCAATAACCGTTTGATTCCCAAACAGTGCGATCGTGATGTTCAGATTTCAGGTCGAGAAAACCTAGCATATTACGAGCTTTGCGGACAATTGACGGTGCGTCACCGACAGTCGAAGTCACGCGCTCAGATTTACTGACGCAAGTACATCACAGAGTTCCTTCCTTTAATGTAAATAATATATTTTACAATAGGTACAATACTACAATAATTGTGCAATAATACATTACAAAATAGGTCACGTTGTATTTCATTGCTACATTCTCAATAATTTTTGTCGACCAAAACTTGAAATATTTATAAATTTACAGTACGCATATGTAAGAATGCAGATGTATTACATAAAATATCGAATTACAAATTAAAGATATTTTTGTGTTATGAACAAGCAATTTAAAGGGTGAGTCACTCCTATAATTTGTAACATCGGTGTTTATCAAAACATATTGGATGAATTCCCTTTTTACATTGTACACAAATTAAATGTGATCTCCTTATTGCATTTTTGGAGCTGCATCGAGTACAAGAACCACTATTGCGCCGATTGGTATTCATCGACGTAAAATAAACGAAGCGTTATTGCACCGTTTGGGATTACTCGACATAAAATAAAAGCAGCGATATCGCGCTGCTTGGGTAAACTCGAACCCACCTAAAGAAAACGCGGTCGCGCTGTTCGGGATACTTCGACAGCGTTTCTTCAAAACCATGTAGGACTCGAACAGTTAAAGGTACATTACTGCTTCTGATGAAATTAATAATGACACTTTTATGATTCCTGTACAATTTATACTACATAATACGACGCTATATTTGTGTGTAGCATATTTAGCGATTAATTACAGATTAAAATTTTTACGTTAGAATGCAGAACGAATTCACTCATAATTGAGGAAATATATATTCATCAGGTGCAAGAAAAGATAGTTGAATTGTTCGCCTAAGTACATATATAATATGATGCTCAACTTCTTCTAATTCGCTTTGATCGGAATTATATGTTTGGCAGATATTTAAGAACCAAGTAAATTTGTGAAACTCTGCTGAGTAATAATTACCCGAAGTCGATATCGTTTGACAACTGATAAACACGACGAAACTCCATTTCGTGCTGCGTTATAAAAGAGTCAATTTCCTAACGCTAAGGATAAATGCTTTCGAGTCGAATGAAGTATCAAAGAATCTCTGGAATGTATGTGGGATTGGGATAAGTATGGTCCTGAAAGAATGCCAAGTGTGATTTGGCTTAGAGTGAAGGTGGCCCTGTGCAAGAGGATTAACTGGAAAAAATATTTATGGTAAGGTCGAATGAAAGTTTAGGGATGTGTCCAGAGTAATTGAAGTACCTGACCTACCTAGGTTGCGTGGGAAGGGGGCATAATCGGAAAGGAAAGCCTGGGTATGGAAAAGGGGAAATGAATGCTTTAAATAAGAGTGCAAGGGCGCGGGCAGCTCCAGCGTCCACAGTTTCGAGAAGAGTCGTCAGTCATGAACAGTCTACAGTTTTTAACGGTCTCCAAGAATTCTTAAGCTAGTGTCTAAGAGTATGTCGATAAGATCTCAAAGTCGAGCACGCCCATAGAGAATCCCTCTTGTTTCATAGCTGCCAATCTACGTATAAGCTTATTGTATTTTATTAAGAAGTAAAGCAACGCTACTTTTGCCAATCCACCCAAACCGATCCCTAGATGTATGTAAATAAATTTGCTGGTTATCACACCAGAAACAAAAAAGATACAGCACTATCACAGTCATACAATAATAATCGTACACGGTCTAAAATGAAGTTCCCTTCGGTTGCTACCATTTAATATTTTATTATTATTTGTCATGAATTAATGGACGGTGTTTATGGATTTCCAAATAAGAAAAAAGAAAAAATATAATATTAACAGATTTTGTAAAGCTATTTAGAATTTTTTCAAAAGCCATTTAACACTTTGAACTGTAATGCAATATTTGCATTCCAATGAAGTAACAAGTATTCACGATTATGAGCTACATCTATCACGCGACAATAACTGTGTTTAACATAATTTAACAAGCGAAACGTTCGCAAAGTTTCTAAAATTTTAGTTCAATTTTATCGTGAATGGAATAAAGATATAGTGGTTAACTAAAATTAAGTGTTTCTTTTATGTATAATTCTTCGTAACGAAGTCGTAGCGCAAGGGGATGATAGTTTACTACACTCGCTCGAGATGAAACATTACGATGTATGGTACGTGCAAAATAGTAGAAAATTCAGGCATAAATAATCGATTTTCTCTATTTTGAACAAGTCTTGAATGACTATATTCCGGGCAGAAGTTATCGTACAGGACGAAATAATAGTACAGCCTGTATATTTCTATATTTCTTGAAATGAAATGCAATGTATGCATATGTTGTATATGTATTCGCATTGTGTCTTCGATCTTTAATAATACAGAAAAATATAATTACCATCTACATCTCTTTCTACAAATTTTACTGATTTATAAGAAAAATTACTGTAATCGAGTGCAAAAAGGAAAAAAAGGAAACGAAAGACAGGTGAAGGAGATTTTGCTTTTTGAAAGTGCTGATGCATCTTTTATATTTTCATGTGATGAATCCAAATCTGGGAGCAAAAACTATGTACAATGTCAGGTTTAAGAAATAAATAAATGTAAGGAATAGATTTTTACTATTTTTTCTAAAATATTCTAGAGATGGTAATTGTTTCTCCAAAATTTCTATCGATAGCTTTGTATAATGCCAACATTCCCTGGTAAAATCAAATTTGTTAAAAATAATTTTTGTCTACCGAGATATAACGTTGTAAAGTTACTCGAAAAACACTGAAAATCATATAGTGTGCTATCATTTTATCGCATACCGTAGCTATTGTTCTGTTATTTCATGAATAATTTGGTTTCTTTTTGTGTCTGACACGGATGTTTATCGATAGATGCAGAATCCAAGTAGTATTTAATTTTAGTTATCATTATTGCAGTTTCTTATAGGCCTTTTTAACGAATAGTTTCGTCGTTTGTTCTGACTGAGATGATTATTTACATGTAGATGCAGGATTTAATTAAAACAAATTTTGCTGTGTATTTCCCCATATATGTAGCATTTAATTTTACATCAATTTACATGCACACGGTGGTTAGAAAGTAGTGACATTTGAAACAAAAACATTTTCGTGGAATACGTAGATTCAGTTAATGCTTTGCAATGATAGTTCTGGGTATTATTCATTGTATACTTTCGCATAGATTTTGGTTGATGTGTTTTCCAACGTGAAGTGGAAAATACAGGTTAGCTTTGTACAATATAGTATGTAGATTTGTATGAAATATTGCGAAGTATGAAATTTGGTTATGTAAATATGAAAGAAAACAGGTGGTTATATTACAAATTTCGTTGAATTTTATTTGCAAATAGTTTTATAGGGTGCTTTAGTATATCATATGTCTATCTTCTCTTCATTTTTAATCTATTTTCGATAATTGTGAATATCGTAGTTCACCTAACCTGAGTCCTAAATTCAACACACCTGTCTCTTCAACCTCGCAACAGAATCGACTGATTTCAGAATACAATTCAAAATTATTAAACCATCAAACAAAATTTGAGAAGGAATGTTTCATTCAATTATTCTAGAGTAAGGAATAATAATGAAAAGTCTGTTTGCAACGAATTTAAAAGATAACCAAAAGTCTCCCATAAGTGATCACCCACGATGATGTGTATTCAAATTAAGCTGCGAAATCTTTGTAAATGTCATGACCTCGAGGAGCAGGCATCTGG